TAATTTTTTTTTTTCCCCCCTTTTTTTTTTTTGCTCCTCAAATATAAACTAGAGAAGGTTTAAAATATTTTCCATCAAACGCCCCTTCCCATTTTTCCCCCTTTTAAGCGGAGGTATTAATATTCTTTATTTGGGGCCAAAGGAAACCCTTTTTAAAGGCCCCTTGCCAACCGCGGGAAAGGGGGGATTTTTTTTGGTTTCTCAAAAACCTTTTCAAAAAAACCAATTAAAAAAATTTTTTTTTCAAAATTTTACCCCTTAAAAGTTTTTAAATAAAAAATTTTTTTTTTTTAAAAAAAAAAAAAAAAAAAAAAAATTTTGGGGTTTTAAAAAAAAAAAAAAAAATTTTTAGGTTCCATAAACCTTTTTTAATTTTTTTTTTTTTTAAAAAAAAAAAAACTTTTTTTTTTTTTTTTTTTTTTTAAAAAAAATTTTTTTTTTTTTTTTTTTTTTTTTTTTTTTTTTTTAAATTTTCATAAATATTTTAGTTTTTATAATTTTTTTTTTTTCATTTTTTTTTAATTTATATAAGATGGAGTTATTTAATAACCTATATAAAAAACCCAATAGTTTAGAAAGTCAAAATATATTCTTGGACGGAAATAACTATGATATAAAAGAGCTATGCATTGACTCAAATGTAGGTGGTAAAGATTTTAGTTTTTCGATTAACCCAAGGACCGATCAAATCAAAATCGATTTTTTTAACCCATTCATTCATAGACCTAAAGGCGAAAAATTTGGGATTCAAATGGGCCCTGATGGTTTTTTAAATAATAAAAAAAGCCTCACTTACTATCAAGATAGAAATGGTAATGTTTTTTCACTATCAAAATCCTCTGAAAGTCCTTTTGGGTATGATAATTACACTAATGCAAATATAACCTTTTAAACCTTTCTAACTCACAAATAAACATTGTATAGAAACTCAAATAATAGCAATAGTATATTTAATATTGAAGAAACCTCACTGGCCTATTCATACTCACTATTTAATCAAACATTTTCAATTATTTCAAGTGACTGTTCTGCCATAATAGGTGATAGAAATAACAATAAAATGTAACTTTAAAACCAACTTCTTATTTTAATATTTTAAAATACCAATTAATTAATTTTAATTTATAGACATAAAGCACATACTGGAAATTCTTATAAAACAAGTATACAAAATATATATAAAATTAAAGATGACGAATCAAATTCATTATTTTGCAGACTACATTCCGAAATAGCAGTGCCCTATTTATCATCATGTTCATTTTTAAAATCACAATTATTTTTTACAAAAATTTTAAAATATAGAAATAATATTGTAGGTAAAAATAATAAATCAGATTTTTAATAATATACAAATACTAATATTTATTCATAAAAGTCTCTTAGAATAGATGGATCCATTGGTAATATTTTTAATTTTAAGAGTCAATCATTTATACCTTTGAACGAAAGATTTTTTAATGGTAAAAACTATGGATTTCCTGGGTTTAAAAAATCAAGTTTAAGCGATAATACTAATGGTGCACCATATCTTGGAAGTACAGCTTATTATACAATTAGAACAACATTATCTAAAAAAATAAACCATTCACTTTGTGGAATATTTTATTTCAATCTAGGTAATTTCAATTTATCAATTAACAATAAAGATTGCAGTAACAGATCTATCATAAGCAATTTAAATAAAAACATTCGTACCTCATTTGGTTTGGGCATTAGTTTCGATATGGGCGACTCGTTAATTTTAGTCAGTATGGTAAAACCAATAAATTACTTTAACAAAGATAAACTAAATACTTTTTCGCTCGAATTACTTTATAAAGCATAAAAATAAAATAAACAAAATAAAATTATACTGTATAATGTATAATGTATAAGTGTATATGACAATATATTTATTTATTTATTTATTTTTTAAAATCTTTTATAAATTCTTTTATATCGTTTGTAGATTGTATACTTTTTGATTTTGCATTTGGGTATATTTGTTTTAATAGTTCTGATAAAACATTATTTGATCCCATTTCAACAAAACAGAAATCTTCATCATTTAAATTTTCTTTTTTCCATTCATTTATACAATATTGAATTGATGGAGACCAATTTACTGTGCTCGATAATTGCTTTGATAATAGAGATTGTATTGATAATTCATTATTTCTATCGATATTACTATACTATAAAGTTATAAAAGAAATAATAGGGTTAGTAACAATTGTAATTGGAATGATGTGTTCATAGTTTGTGAATAAATACAGGTAAACAATTAACATTTGAAATAATTTTAGTCTCTGGTGTATTAAATTGAACTTGATCTACTATTATTTTAAATGAATCGCTGCATGGCTTCATTAATTCGCTATGGAAAGCAGCGCTAACTTCTAATTTTACTGATTTTACAAATAATTTATTCTTTTTACCAATTTCAATTAATTTATTAACACCCTCTTCGCTTCCACTAATAACAATCTAAATAGTAAAAACGAAACTGTTAGCGAATACCTTTTAAATAAAATTGGAAATAGTTTGATATCCATACCTGATTTGGTGAATTTATATTTGAAATATTGCATATTATATTTTCAGATAATAATTGATTCGATATTTTTTTAAGCTCCTCTAATGAACCAGATTCAAACATATTCTTTTTACTTAAAAGTGCTGCCATTATACCAGGCTGTGCTTGTTTCATTAATTGACCTCTTTGTCGAACTAACTGTAATGCATCATAAAATGATAATGAATTTGATGAAGCTAAAGCTGAATACTCGCCTAATGAATGTCCCAACATAAAATCGAATCTATTTATAAATTCTTTTGATACTGTAAAGTCATTGCTCCTTTCGTTAATTTCGCAATATCCCAATTCTTTTTCTATAATCTTTAAAATTGAAAATGAATGTAATAATAGTGCAGGCTGTGTATTATCGGTTTGTTTTAATTCTTCCTAAAATAAATTAATAAAATATTTATTAATACTCCTATTGCCTCCATTAATATAATATTAATTAAAATAAATACAAACGGATGGTCCATTAAACATTAAATTTGTCAAGGGATATTTCAATACTTTATCGGTTTGATTATACAATGGTGCAATATATGGGAAATCTTTAACCAAATCCTTTCCCATACCAACAATCTGGCTGCCCTGTCCTGGAAATAATAATGCAATTCTTTTCATAATTTGTAATTTTATTAATTACCCACCATCCAATATTTTTTTTAAAAAATATCTCTAATGATGTTTAAATTAAAAAAAATAAAAATAAAATAAAAAATAAAAATTTTTACAAAAAAAAATTAATAAAAATAAATAAAAAAAAAAAAAAAAATTAATATATCAATACTAAATATAATGTAAACTTTATATTTATACTATTGAATAAATAATAAATAAATACTATTGCATATATTAAAAAATTAAAAAAAAAAAAAAAAAAATATTAAATTTAATTTAAAAAAAAATAATCGTAAAAACACCTTTTGCACGTTTTTTTTTTTTTTTTGAAAATTTAAAGATACCTTTCTCTCCCACCAATATAGAAAACCTATACCCAAACACATTAATTTGTGTTAATTATTTGTTTGTTGTTTTATTCATTATTATCTATCTATCTATCTATGTGTTTTTAATTGTGTTTATATTTATATAAATAAATATTTATATATTTAGTATATATAATTTTTTTTTTTTTATTTTCATTTAATTAATTAATCACACACAAAACCACATAGTTTTTTTTTTGAATTTTTTTTTTTCTCTCTTTATTATTTATAAATATAAATAACCATATATATAATAATCAAAAATGAAATTTGGAAAATATTTAAGAAATAATATGAATCCAAATTATGAAAATCATTATATAAATTATAAAGATTTAAAGAAACTTTTATTAGATTTAGCATCTGTAGAAGAAGAAAAGAAAAGATTATCCGGTAATAATGGTAGACAACAACAACAAAATAACAAAAACTACATTCTTCAATATCAAGCTTCCCAACAAGCCTCTGATAGAAATTCAAAATTTTTATTAACCGTTTGGAAACAATTTGAAAAGGTTGATATTTTCATAACAACAAACGAAAAGGAATTATCAATGAAATCCAACTATATGGAGAATGTAGGTATATTAAAAAGATTATATGTAATCAATATATATATAAACATTTAATCATTTACTAACCTATATTTTACAGTCTAAAGATGCTAGATTGATCATCTCTTGTATTAAAGAAGTCGAAGAACTACTAAACTTTGTTCATTTAAATTTAGAGGGTTTTAGAAAGATCTTAAAAAAATTTGATAAAAAGTTCACAATTACAATTGGCCATGAATACTTTAAAAACATGATTTATTCACATTTTCAAGCTAAAGTTTCAGTTTTAAATTACTACAACAACAAACTTTCTGTAAGTGTAATAATAAAAAGAAAAAATATAAAAAGAATCCATTCTAATTAAACTTGTTTTTTAGAATATTTATTCACAACAGTTTGGCGATATAGAAGAATTAAAACATTCTGAAAAAACAGAAAGTGTATTTAGCTTTTGTATGGATGAACAAATGGAATAATACAATATCAATCAATATCAATCAATAACAAATGGTAACAAATAATCAAATATCAGCAGGATATACACATTCGATTCAATTATTTATATTTATTTTTTTTTTAATCTTTTTTTAAAACTTTTTTATTATTTTTTCTTTTTTTTTTTTTTTCTTTCTTTTAAATATAACCAACAGTTACATAAAATATATATTCAATAAAATAAACAAAAATAAATTATTTAATTTTTATAAAATCAAATAAAAATTTCACCTTAAATATTTATATTCTAAAAGTAATAAAAAGTTTGAACATATTATTTATTAAATGGATTGGTATTAAATTTCCTATCTAATCTTTTTCTTTTTTCAATCTCTTCTTTTGAATAAAAAATTTCATTTTGTTTTTTTGTTTTTTCGATTTTATCCTTTTCAATGGCATCTGTTATTATATCTGGTGTTTTAAATTCGGTATATTCTTTTTTTTGTTGTGTTTGCTGTTGGTTTTGTTGTGGTGGTGGTTGCTGCTGCTTTTGTTGTAATGGTGGTTGTGGTTGAATAATTTGGTCAATTTTTAATAATAGACAAACTATATCGATTGCAAATCTAAATACTTGAGTTTTACCTCTGTATGTTTCGAAAATTCCAAAGTCAGAGGGATTAATGAAATATTGTTTATTATCCCCATCACTATCACTATCGACTGAAATTAAATTTATACCAACTGCTGCTGCCTCTTGATTGTTATTGTTTAAAGTTTTATAAAATAAATCTAAAATTTTTAAGACTGGTTTATTTTGATTTGATAACAATGTGATCGGTATAGTTTCAATTGATTTTACCAAAGCTTCAAATGTCTGTTGATCCACAAATGATAACTTTTTGCTTTCAATTTGTCTCTTTAATGACCCTATAATAGAAAACTCTGGTGATGAAGCCGATGGTAGAATAAATAGATCCTCTAAACAACATTTACCAATACCCATACCTGTTACAAAACTACCGACCCTTTGACGAAGAATATGATTTGATGGTGCAAAAATTTCAACAGAGATTAACGGTGATACTGGATTGACCAACTTGCTAAATTCAAATTGGTTTGTAAATACCCTATATTGAATCTTGCTACAGCCACCAATAAAATTTCTTTTAATCTTTAATAAATACTCTTTATTTTCCAAACCCTCTTTCGAAAATATTGAATCTACTGAATTTATACAGTTTATACCCAATGATTTGTTTATTATTCTTATATGTTGTTGATTTATATTATCAAAAATTAAAAATTTACTACTATTAGTTGAATTTGTATCGAATAATGATTTTGAGTATTCATCTATTGAATTAAATACTAATACTATCATGGCTGCACTACTATTATCCAACTCTACTATTTTTTCTATATATTTACAAATTTTGAATACCTTATTCTTTAGAATTGTTTTTTCATACTCTAGTAACTCTGTTCTTTCTTGTGCTGAATGAAACACTAATTTTGTTTTTTCTTTTTTATCTTGGCCGCTGCTCTTTGTCAAACCACTTTGAGGAGCATCACTATTGTTTGATTTTAATTTCAAATCTTCATTTATAAATAATATAAAATTGGTGCTACCACTATAATTATTTTTGAAATTATTTAAATTATTATTATTATTACTATTATTATTATCCAATATAAAACCATTTGATAAAAATTTTGAAATTATATTTAAATCGAATAAATCATTATTTTTTAATAATCTTGGATAAATTATAACTTGATCCTGGAATGAAATTCTATGATTCATTATATCCTTAATTGTAAAATCCTTATTATTTATATATAGTGACTTTATAGTTTCCAAGCATAAACCTGCAATATTTGAAACCACTATATTATCATTATTATTATTACTATCATCATTATCATTATTATCACCACTATAATTTAATACTGTTGAGTTATCCAATTTTGTATTTATAATTGAATAAATTGTTTTGTAGAGTAAATCCAGATTTATTTGATTTAATTTTAACTTTAAAATTTCGTCATTATCTATAGTGTCGATATTCTCGAGTGATGGAATGAGAGGAATTCTAAGTGATTTTAATATTGGTTCGATTTGAGTTGTAAAACTGTTTTGAAGCGAATAAACCAATGAAATTGGATGGATTCCTTTTTCCATTATAACAACACATTCCCTAAATAATGAATATATCAACAATACCAATGTATTTGTACAATCATAGCAAATAGTTTCTAACATATGCACTGATTTCTTTACAGTATTTGAAAAAACATGTTCAATTTTCAAACTCTAGATATGTATAATAATTCAATGTTAGTAAGAAAATTTCAAATATATATATATGTAATATTAAGCGATTTATTATTTATACTTTTAAAATTTCTGATGCTTTTTTTGAAAGTATTACATTATTTTTATCTTCTCCATTATCCTCTTCACCAACCAACATTTGGTACTGGCCATTTATTCCATAACAACATTTTACAATATCATATAAACTGCCAATGACATTGAGTATTAAATCTTTTGGCTCCATTAAATAATTGATTTCATATTTAATAATGATAATTTTCAAAAAAAATTAAAAATTTTAAAAAAAAAATTAAAAAAAGAATTAAAAAAAATAAAAAAAGAAATAAAAAATAATTATTTTGCTGTGAATAAAATAAAATAATAATATTTTTGAAGAATATTTTAAATTAATTTTTTTTTTTTTTTTTTTTTATTTATTTATTTTAAAATATACTCTGTTATTAAACCATTTTACTCCAATTAATTGATAGTTCACCAACGAAAATTTAAAAAAAAAAAAATCTGGTTAATATTTTTATATAAAACCATTTTTATGTATGGGGTAAATTCATAATTGAAAGGAAGAAATATTTAACCAAATAAATACTACTAAAAAATAAATGAATAAATAAAAATAAATATTTAATTAAATTTAATACATAGAAAATATCTAATATTCATAAAAAAAAAATAAAAAAAAATAAAAAGTGTCATCATGGATAATGCAATACACACACCAAATTGTGTAAAAAATTTTATGATTTTTTAAACATGTCATTGAGTGTCATGATTTTTTATATTAAAAAAGAGTTCGAAATTGCCATCTCGAGGATGGAAACAGTTTTGAGTATTCTTTCTATAATAAAATAAAAAAAATAATAAAAAAAATATAATTATATAATAAAATAAAATATATAATTTTAAAATATATATAAAAAATAATTCTTTTTATTTTTTTTTTATTTTTTATTTTTTGGATTTGTTATATATATGGGTTGAAGAAATATCATATAAATTTGGAGTTTTGTGTCGAATCCCTAGATGCATGTTGCTAATAAGCATCATGGTTCGCCCATTTCATAATTATTATTTTTATTTATTTTTTTTTTAATTTTTTTTAGATTTTTTTTATTTATTTTTTTTTTGGAAGTGAAAAAAAAACGAAAAACAATTATTTTTTAAAATATGAGCCAAAGTTTTAAAAAAAATAGCCTACTGTCACCAAAAAAAACACTCTAAAAAAAAAACTTTTGTATTTATTTTCAATCATTTTAAAAAATCGTTAGTTAGGTTTTTTCTAAATTTTATTTAAAATTAATTTTTTTTTTTCTTATCAATAATCAATACAAAAATAAAAATAAATAAAAATAATTTTTTTTTTATTATTATTATTAACATACAACCTTATAAATAAAAATTTTTCTTGTGTATTTTAAAAAAAAAAAAAACAAAGCTACACCTTTTTTTTTTTTATTATATCATAAATAATTATTTATAAAAAAAAAATAATAAATTAATTATTTTCACCCCTCCCCACAATTAAAATTTTTATTTATTTCAATAATTAGTTATTTATTCTTTTTTTATTTTTTTTTATTTTGTTTATATTTATTTTACACCTTAGTAGTTGTTGCATTATTGCATTTATTTAATTAGCAACGATAATACATAATATATTTATCATAAATATTTTTTAAAAAAAATTTTAAAAATAAAAAAAAAAAAATAAAAAAAATTTAAAAATAAATTTTTTATTTTTTTCTAAAATATTTTTGTAATAGTAACTAAATAACACTTAATAATAATAATATAAATTATAATCAAAAAAAACACAACAATATATATATAATAAAATCATGGGTATTTCAAATAAGAAAGTTGATGTACAAAATGATGGTGCAAATAAATATCCAAGCAAAAGCGGATTACCACCAACTGTAGGTACCGGCCCAATGGATAAATATGACCCAAAAGACGAATATATTAGAGTAGAAGCCGTCCAACAACATTGGCTTAGAAGAAAATTAATTTCAGATAAATATCCAGAAGTCTTAAATCTTCCAACATATTATTTACCAAGTGCTTTTTGGGTTGTCGCTTTGGTTTCCTCTTTAGTCATCACTGCTAAAATTTTAAATAACTCACCAATCTGGTTAATCTTTGTTGTTGCATATCTTTTTGGTGCTGTTGCATCACATGCTTTATGGGTTTTAATTCACGAACTTACCCACGACTTAGTTTTCCCAGGTTCATTTTTAAATAGTACTTTTCTTTTAATTGCAAATTTACCACACTTAATTCCATCCGGTGTTAGTTTTAGACATTTCCACAGAGTATGTATAATTTTTATAATAAACAACCATACATATATTAAAAATAAATATATTAATTTTTTTTTATTATTTATTTTTCTCCTTATAATAGTTACATCATTCATTTTTAAATGAAACTTATACCGATCCAGATGTACCAGTCCCATTCGAAAATAAATTCTTTGGTCACAGTATTGTTGGTAAAGCAATTTGGTTCTGTTTTTATTCAATTGTAATTTCTTTAAGATCAATCTTCTATCCATTAAAGAACCAATCACCATTCAGCATGTGGTTAGTTGCCAATTACATTTGTAACATTGTTTTCACCTATTATGTTTCACAATATGTTGGTGTCAAGGGTATGACCTTTTTAGTTTTATCATCTTTAATGTCACTCGGTTTCCTCCTTCATCCATTAGGTGCTCGTTGGATCGCTGAACATTTTGCTGTTACCCAATCTGAACAAGAAACTTATTCAACTTATGGTTTCATCAATACAATTGGTTTCAATATTGGTTACCACAACGAACATCACGATTTTACTCGTGTTCCATACATTTATCTCCCAACTTTAACTAAAGTCGCTAACGAATTCTACAAGGGTGGTCTTAAATATCATACTTCCTACTGGAGAGTCTTATACGAATTCTTAAATCAAGACGGTTTCACTTTTAACAGTAGAGTCGTTAGAAATCCAAAACTTAAGAATTAAAAACAAATATAAATAATAATAATAAATATATTACTACTTAATATAACAATAATCTTCTTGGTAGTAAAATAATAATGTTAACATATTAATAATATTAATTAATTTTAAAATAATTAATTATAATACAATCTTTTAAAAAAATTAAATAAAATAATTTATTTATTAAAATAATATAACAAAGTTTTATTTAATTAATACTACAATTTTTTTATTTATTTTATTTAATTTGCATTGTTTTTATTAATTTTTTAATTTAAAAAATTAATCTTTTTTTGAAATAATCATACAACCAGTTTTAATTTCTGGTACAACCTTTTCTAATTTGAAACCTGCAGCATCAAATAATTCGTTCCATTCGTTTAAAGTTCTTTCTTTAGCATTAACCATTTGCATCATTAAAATATCAATGTAAACTGAATATTTGGTGTAAAATGGTGGTTCTGTAAATGTTTTTTAATTAGTATAAAAAAAATAACATTAAATTATGTATAGTTATGGTTAATTAAAAACTTACCAATAATAATTTCAAAAAGATAGATTTTAGCACCTGGTTTCATAGATTTACCAATGGTTTGTAAAATTTTAACACAGTCTTCGGTTGGCCAATCGTGTAAAATGAATTTTAAGATATAACAGTCTGCTTCTGGTACAGATTCAAAGAAATTACCTGGTACATGCTTTAAACGTTCATGTTGGAACTTTTCGGTGGCTGCATTTAAAACAACATCTAAATCAAAATTAATACCATTAACTGTTGGATGGGTTTCTAAAATATTACCGATTAATCTAAATAATAATGAAAAATTAATAAAATTATAGTTTTTAAAAGTAATAATAATATAAAATAAAATACTTACAAACCATGGTTACCACCAACATCAACAATGGTATTGAATGAGCTAAAGTCAATGGCTCCTCTAATATTTGACATGGCTGCTTCGGTGTAAACTTGCATAGTTTGGTTAAATAATTCTTTGTATGCTGGATCTGAATCAAAGATTTCCCAAAAATGATCGAAACCTACATTCTTTGGGCCTAAACCTTTATTTTGTTCGAATGATTGTGGAAGAGTTTCAAACATTTTATAGTGGAGATCATGTGTATAACGTTGACCCATTGATTTTAATTTACCATTCTTTGAAAACATTGAGCTAACTGGTGTTTTCATAAAGGTGCCAAGATTATCTTTATCTTCTGCAAATAAATCATTGGCGGTAAAATAACGGAGTAATCTATAAACCATGTTTTCATTGATGTTAATTGCTTCTGCGATTTCTTTGTAATGCTTTGGGCCATCTTCTAGGTAATCACAAACACTATGTTTCATAACAACGTTGAACATTCTGCTGTGTAAGTGACCAGAAACATAGGTCATAACTAAGTTCATAGCTTTGTCCCAATTCCAACTATCGATGGTTTGTTGACTATCCATTTCTTTTCTTTTCTATATGTAGTTTAATTTTAAAAAATTTTATTAATAATTATATAATGATTATCAATAATATGCATTAAAATGATTAAATACCAAGCTTGTTTTTTTTATAATTATTAATAAAGTTAATAAAAAAATTATTGTTTTTAAAATAAAATGTTAAAAAAAAATAAAAAAATAAAAAAAATAAAAAAAATGGAAAATTAGATATTTATTTTTGCTATGGTTTCATAAATACTTTTTTATAACCCAACACAACACAATCTTTAATAATCTAAAACTATAATGATTCCAGAACCCAGTAAAAAAATATTTACACACTCTGAATTTTCAATTTTAAATTTTGTTTTTAAAAATCTAACGTTAAACATAGATTTTTTTTATTTTTTTATTTTTTATTTTTTTTTATTTTTTTTTATTTTTTTTTGCTTTGAAAACTAAAAAATGAAAACTGAAAACTAAAAAATAAAAAAATTTTTTTTATTGTATTTTGGTTTTTTTTTTAATATTTAATGTTTAAAAAAAAAAAATTATAATTATTATTTTGGAAATTTAGAATCAAATTTTTCTTTGAAGGTTGTTAAGTTTGAATTTGTAACATTTTGTTTTTCTTCTAACATACTTAATTTTTCTAAAATAAATGAGAGTGCATTTTCCAATCCAAAGTAAATACATTTCTTTTCATGCTCTTCCAAGTCTTCTCTAATTCCGGTCCATTTACACATGAGTTTTTTAGCGGAACACTCTACAGGGAATTTTTTACAAATTTGATTATGTGACTGTACTTGTGGTTTAGTTAGACATTCCCCACATCCCAATTTACACTGAGTTTTGCAAAAGTTCTCTGCATGATTAGTAAAGTCAGCTCTTCTGATCTCTTGTTCGGAATTGCATACTTTACATTTAACTCTTAAGTTATCTAATAGCTTTGTAATGAAAATAGGGATTGTTGTTTGATCAATAGTTTCACATTTTTTAGAACAAATAGGGCAAACACTATTTTTGATGAATTCAGGAGATGTTTCAAAACAGCTTCTACATACCATATTTCTGCAACTTGGTTCAACAATTGGATCTTCCAATGGATCTTTACACAAAGGACATTCTAAATGTTTAAAATCTTCATTTAGAGGGTCGACATATCTAAATTGTCTTTTATCTTCACTAAATGTCATTATTTAAAGTTTTGTATATGTTATTAATTATTAAAAAGTTTTATTATTGTTGTTAAACTATTATTATTATTTAAAAAGAAAAAAAAAGAAGTATAAATTTCAAAGATTTTTTTATTATTTTTTATATAATTTAAAATTAATCATTGTTTTAATTTTATTAATAATAATATAATAAAATAATATAAAATAAAATTTTTATTTTTACTAATTGAATTAATGTTATTTTATTATATTTAAAATAAAACAATGATTTATAATTTAAAAAATAAAAAAAAAAAAAAAAATTATAAAAAAATTTTTTTCTGAAAAAATAAAATTAAATAACTAAAATAATAATTTAAACTTTATTTATTAAAAACTTTAAGGAATGGAAACCTTTAGTTACATTGAACCTCTTAATATTAATACAAATTTAGTTTGTAAATTTTGCAAAAAACCATTAAGCGATCCCATTATTTTAGTATGTGGTCATTTGATTTGTTGCACCTGCATTCCAAATGAATTATGGATCGAATCCGGTTACACAGCAACATGTCCAGAGTGTGGCAAAGATTATAAAAAAGAAGATACTACAATAAATATTCCAATTTGTATAACCGAGGATTTAAACGGTTTAAAAGTTAAATGTAATAGATGTTTAGAAGGAGTTGTAATTAATCGAGTAGATTTTTATGAACATATAGAGCTTTATTGTAAAACTCCATGTGAACTTGGATGTGGGGCGATTTTAACTAAAAATGAAATTAAATCCCATCTTGATGTATGCAGTAATTTCATTGTTGAATGTCCTGCTTTGGATATTTATTGCAAATGGAAAGGCCCAAGAAAAGATCTAGAAGAACATATACAAAAATGCAATACAGAAGGTGTAAGACCTGCCATTGAAGCTTTGCGTGAAAGCGTTCAAAATTTAAAAGAGGAAAATCAATTGTTAGTTAAGAATTTAGAAAAATCAAATGATATCTTGTTATGTATGGTAAAGTTTTTTTTTAATCCAAACGATTTTAACCCCTTAGAAGGAAAAGATTACAATTTAATTGAAAATATAAATGTTAAAGAAAATGAAACTGAAAAAATATTAGAGCTATAGATATTACAAAAATAAAAGATGGAAAAAAAAGTTTTAATAAAAAAAAATTAGTTGTTTTATTTAGGGTCAAACTTTGCTTTTAGAACTTCAAATGATTCGCTGGGTTTAATTTTAGCTGGATTCGAATTCGAATCCTTTTTGTTACTATTATTAATGTTATTAATGTTATTATTATTGCTATTTATCTTTATTTTTTCTGAAACTGGTATTGGTTTATTATCCAATGTATTTCTTTTAATACTTGAATCTGGTGAAATTTTATCGTTTATCATCGATGCATAAAATGAGGGGTGAAGAGGTGGTGGAGGTAAACTAAAACCACCTGTATTTAAACTTTTTGGTTCCAAAATTGTTGAATTATCAGATTCTGATAAAAATGAATCTTGATTACCACAACTACTCTCTATACCACTTGATGAAGCTGTAGAAGATAAAAGTACTGATGAGCTAAAAGTAATTGAATTTTTTGAATTTTGTGGCGATAAAGAGTCACTGACATTGTTGTGATTGCCACCTTTAATTGATATTGGATTTGACTCATTTTCACCAACAGTTCTTGGGTTGGATCTAAATGCTGATAATCTTTTTTGACCCAAATTTTTATCTGGTACAAATCTCTCCCATTTATGTTCTTTAGAATCACTACCTTTACCATTAATACCACTTGATAATACAGGACTGGTTGAAGTCGAGCCGATTGGACTCAAAGAGTTTGGACTTTGAGCTGCAGAAATATTTGAAATTGGAGATGATGATGTCGAACTTGATCTAACATCAAAATCTGATAAAGTTGGTGAGTTTTGATTTGAAATTGAACTTTGTTGCTGTTGCTGTTGCTGTTGCTGTGGTTGCTGGTGTGGTTGCTGTTGTTGTTGTTGTTGCTGTTGTTGTGGTAATGGTCTTGTAACTTCAACTAAATTCTTTAGTTCTTCAGTTGGATGCATAGACATATCGCTATTGATTATATTTTCATTTAGCGTATTCTCTGATATGGAGGATCTATATGTATCATTTCTAAATCCTTCATATAAACCTTGTTCTTGCATTTTATTTCTAAGATCTTCTAAATATACAACAATCTCGTCAAAGTTTGGACGTGATTGTGGATCAGTTTCCCAACATCTAACGATTAACTCTTTGATTTCTGGTATGCAAGTTTCAGGTATAGGTGGACGATAGGATAAATCTAATACAGATCTAACCCAATCGATATGCTCCAAGTCGTGATAAGGAATTTGACGAGATATACACTCCCAGAGTACAAAAGCAAAACTATAAACATCAGCCATTTGAGTATATTCGGTACCTTGTAAAACTTCAACAGCCATATAGCATGCAGTACCAACAGCCTTAGTCATACGACGGTTATCGACAACTCTACTAACACCAAAATCTGAAATACGCACATTCCAATCTTGATCGATTAAAAGATTACCACTCTTTAAATCTCTATGAATGATACCTAATGAGTGTAGATAACTCATACCTTTTGCGGCCTGAAGAGCAATATGAACAATACGAGCATTGGACAATGGACACACATTGGCATGAATCACTTTATAAAGACTTCCTCTAGAGTAATAGTCGCAAACCAAAAACATTTTGCCTGGAGTTCTTGATCCACCAATACAATGTACAATATTATCGTGACGTAAAACCGACATGATAGTAGTTTCACTATGAAATTCTCTTTCGTTGAAACTTAAATTCTCTTCATTAAAAGATTTGATAGCAACTTCATAACCATTCCAAGTTCCTTTCCATACAGTACCACTTACACCATGTCCTATCTCTTTTGTAATTTCAAAGTCTTGTTGATAAATTGGCTTTAATATAGTTATATCACCTTGACGCACAAATTCGATTAAATGATGTAGGAATCGCTTGCCACCACCTCTTACTATTTTAGTCTTGTACTTTTCTTGTTTGATTAAATGTGATAATATATAACAAATTGGGATAGCTATTGATTCTTGTGAATGTAATAATTCTATAAACTTGTCAATATCATCCATACCCATATTTTCTACACAACATGGATCATATCTGCATAAATTGGCTAATGTATTTACAATAAATGGTGTTTCGACTTTTAAACTGTCAAATAGTGAAGAAACTAAATATGGTATAATTCCACTTTGAATTAAATGTTTTTTACATTGATCTAAAAAAAAATCATATTAATAATTTATAAATAATTATTTTCTACAATATTAATAATTTTAAATATTTACCATTGGGTGAATTTGAAATTATCATAAATGATCTAAAGGCTTCGGATCTAGCAGAGCATTCATGACATAGAATAAATTGTTTTAACAAATTTAAACCATTTCCTTTTGAAAAATGGTCATGAATTTTTAATGAAGTAGTTGAAACCAACATATTTGAAATTGTTAAAGATAAAAAGAAAATATAATCTGTTTCTTCTTTGAAAATTTGTGAAAAACTTTGATTATAGCTATATAAATTTGATTCGGTATTTGACGTTATTAAATGATTGAAACTATTTGATTCCCATTGACAAAACATGGGTATACCAAAATAACCAGATTTATCGTGAGTTGGTGTAATTAAATCTAAAATTCCATTTGATATTAAAAAGGTGCATAATGATTCACTAACACAGAAATTTGAAAATGATTTGAAAATTAAAACTTTTTTTGAAATGTCTTTAAAATCTTTGCAACAATCTAATAAGCATGATAGTAATTTAATATTTGATTCTTTCTTTAAGTCAACTATATTATTTTAATGAAAAATTAAATAAAAAAATAAGGGAGTTAGTGATTTGGTGGCGTAAAATTAATTGATAAATAAATAAACTTACAGCTTGAAGAAAGATTTGAAATTGTTTTTAATGTACAATTAATTGTTATATTATCTTGTAAATGTAACATATAAATTAAAGTTTCTTTGATTTCTTCATTTGCTAAATAATCTGAAATTTCATAGATTTCTGAGACTCTTGATAAAAAGATAGCACATGATCTAGGGCAATCAATATGCTCTGATCTTGCAACCAAAGATATTATTTCCATACCAACTTCTTTTAAAAACCTATCTATAAATGGTTTATATGATGATAATATACATAGACTACTAGCTAAAAGTCTTCTTAATTCCATAAAATTACTCCAATTATCCAAAGATACCAATTTAAATATAAATTCCATACCATATTCCCTTAAAACCCTTTCTTTATTTTTATCTAAACAATAATAATAAAAAAATATTAATATATATTATACAAATGAAAAATTATTTTGTTCAATTTAATAATTACCTTTTTCCATTAATTTTGCAAATATACCAGTAATATGAATTTGGACAGTTGGATCAGGATAAAACATTAGATTTACTAAACCCTCTATACCAAATGAAAATAGATTATCGATTGTACTTGGTTTATTTGAAATTAATGTTATCAATTCAACAATTTCTTCATTCCATTCATTTGAAAAAGCCAATTCTTTTAAACGTGGATTTAACTCGTCAATAATGGTGCATTGGAATGGACTACCACAAATTGGAGTATTATCTATTTTGATGCTAATAGAGTAATCGCCATAGGTTGTTGGTTGAAGAGTGAGTAATGAATAGTCGTGTTTACGTTGATCATAAGTGAATGCCATAGTACGATCATCGACTGATGTAGAATTCTTTTTTACAATATCAATTTGAAAATTGCATGATGTGGAATTTATTAAAACACCCTTTGAATCTACTCTGTACAATTTTATTTCATATTTTACACCCGATATACCTCTATATAAACCTTTACCAATTGCAAAACACAATGCTGGGCACTCTTCGCCTTTTTTACTTGATAAAACATGTATACGTTGACTAATTGTATTACTATTTAAATCATCCGAACTTTGACTACCATAATATCCTGAACCAACCAATGACAATTTATCAGCAGCTGTTATAGTTCTCTTTGGTGGAACTAAAAATTCCGATGGGATTTCTTTCTCTAATTTTACCATTTGTAATTCCGATCCATCATACATTTTATAATCTTTTACTAATCTATAACTATGCAATAATTTCGAATATGACTATATGAAAAAAAAAAACAAAATAACAAATTAATATATAAAATTTTTAACGGAATCTGTATAAAATATTATAATCTATATTTACTCTTGAAGTTTCTCTTGGTTTTTCTTCATCTATAACTTTTAAATATAACTGTTGTCTAGCTGGTGGTATTTTAAATAAATTAAACAATTGGGTTTTAATCATCCAAATTAATTGATTTGGATGAATTTCAATAAATACTTTATTACTATTATTATTATTACTACTACTACTATTTATTATATTATTGCTTTCTTCATTTTTACTATTTAACGAGGATGTTACACTTACTAACACTCTCATTTTTTTAAAATTTTATTATTATTATTATTATTATTATTACTATTAATTTAATAACTATATAACTTAATATATATTTATTTCTATTCTTAAACTTTTACTTTTATTGACTATGTATATATAACTTAAAAAAAACACACAATATTCCACTATTTTTTTTTTTAATTTAAAAAAAAAAAATTTAACACAAAATTAATTTATAAATAATATAAATTAATTTTTTTTATCTATCTATTATTATTGCTATTACTACTACTATTGTTATTACTACTACTGTGTTTCTTCATACCGAATATTATATATAATATAATATTAAAATTTTATATTTTGATTATATTTATGTGGGTTGTTAAAAAAAAAAGTTGGAAAAAATTTTAAAATTTTTAAAAAAATTATAATAAAAAAAATTTTAAAAGATTTGATTGCAAATAGTGTGATAATATCTTGTTTTTTTTTTATTATTATAATGTGTGTAAAAAATTTTTTAAAAGGATTCTATATAAATTTTAAATATTTTATTTTTTTATTTTATTTTATATAATGAGATAAAATATATAGAAAATAAATAGAAAATATAGTTTTTAGGTCAATAAAATTAAATAAAATAAAAAAATTAAGAAAAAAAAAATTAAATATTTATAAAAAAAAAAAACCGAAAAATTACATATGATAATTTTCTTTTTTTATTAACAATTTATGATCAAACTTGAAAAAATAAAAAAATAAACAAGCTCCTTAAAATTAAAATTGGAAAAAAATAATAATTTAAAATTTTCCGTCTATATTTCCACTTACTTTTTTATTATTATAATTAAATTAAATAAAATTAAATAAAATTAATGAAAAATTAATTATTTCAAGAAATAAAATATAAAACTAAATATAAAATTAAATAAAAATATTATTATGTGTATCAATAAAAAAAAAAAAAAAAAAAAAAAAAAATATTTATTTATTTATTTATTTATTTATTTATTTATTTATTTATTTATTTTTTCAATTATTTATTTATAAAAATAATGAAATTACCATTGAAATGGAGAATAATAATAAAGTTGATAAAGATGATAAGGTAGTTGATGAAGATTCGTATGGATCATTTTTAGTGAGAGTCCATGCACCACATGATGAGTTATCATTAGAGACAGTAAGATAACCAGTGTCTGGGTAATTATGGGTTGATCCATTGTAGGTACTAACTGAAAATGAATAGGTTAAACATTCAACATCTGAAAAAGTATTATTAAGATACATTACATATTTATAGGTACTGTAAGGTTGGTTTTTATAGACTGTTGAGGAAGAGGGTGTGAGGTATTGATCCATTGATCTATCATTACCTTGGAAAATTAAAGAAACTCTGGTTGGGTAGTTATATGGTTGGTAGAATGTTAAATAGAAATGTAAATCTCCATTGATCCAAATATGGGATGCTGATGGGATTGGTTTAATTGTTTTATAAATTGATGGGGCAGCCCAATATAAAATGTATGTCAAAGATCCTACAGCTCTTGAAGATACACCAAACTCATTGATGTATTCCGAATTTAAACCAAATCTTGGATCCAAAGTAGTCGAATCTGAATCGGTTTTACAATAAGTATTATTTCCCTTTTGACATATTGCGTTCATTATAGCCCCATATCCTGGTTCTACATAGATGGATCTTTGATAACGACCAATAACTTGGTCAATAAATGAAGTACTATATTGTGAATAATAGGCTTCAAGGTATTCTGGATAATAAGTACCATTGCACAATTTTAAACCAGTGTTGTCACATTCATTATTTATAAATTGATCCATTAATACGTCTGCATAAGCACTAAGTTGACTATTATAATTAAGTGGTTTTTGGGGTTTAGCAATAGAGTTGTATGCATAAATATAATAGTAGTCTGAATATGTGTAAATTGGGAACAATGGCATAAAAACATGTGCAAAATTATATGGATTATTACGTGCCATATTTACTGCCATTAAAGCAGTACGTTCTGAATAAGTTGGATGTCCATTTTCATCACCTAATTAAAAAATAATAAATAATAATAAATAATTAATAATGAATAATAAAAAATAATAAAAACAATAAACAATAACAATAACAATCAAAATTTTTTTTTTTTTATTTTATTTATTTTTTCATTTTTTTAATATTTACCTTCACCATAACTATTTACACCACTACACACTAAAATTACAAAAAAGATTGATAGTAATAAACAATTTAAAATTTTCATTTTATTATATTATTGTTATTTTATATGTATAAAATATTTGTTTTGAACCAAAAAAAAAAATTAAGTTTTTAAGAAAAAAAAAAATAAAAATAAATAAAAAAATTTATTTTTAAAATTGATTTTTGTATAATTCAAAGAAGCTAGATATTTTTTTGGTTTTTTTTTTAGGTTTTTTTTCTTTTTTTTTTGGTTTTTTTTTATTGGCCAATAAAAAAATATTTATTTTTAAAAAAAAAATTTTTTTTTAAATCTAAAAAAAAAAAAATTTATTATTAATTGTAGTTAGAGAAAAAATAACAAATTTTTTTTTTCAGTTTAATAAAAAAAAAATATATAAAAAAAAAATAAAATGTAGTTGACAACTAGTTAGAGTAATAAAGATTATTGCAACACTCCTTGACTAATTCTCAATTTCATCAACTGAATTAATCACAACTTATTTGATCAATAGAAAACCAAATTAAACCTTTAGATAAAAAGTCTAATTACATATTTGTATACTGTCCATAAAATTATCACAATTTCTATTTCATTTATTCAGTATATATAATTTTAATAAAAATTTTAAAATCCAATAACAAAATTTTTTCAATATATTAATAATAGTTCAATAACTTTATTATTTAATATTGTTATCAAATATCACAAAGAATATAAAGATTTATTATTGTTGTTAAGTTCCATACATTATATGACCATAAATAATCAAATATACTGTTTTTTTTTTTAATTATTAAATTTTTTAATAAAATGAAAAAGTTTGTTTTATATCATTTGGAATTTAATGAAATTTTCAAACCAAATGTAGTTTTAATTTAAAATGTTCAATTTAGAATAAAAACTTATTTCAATTATAAATCCAATAAAAAAAAATAAAAAAAAATAGTTTATTTTTATTTTCTATTTAATATGGCTTCAAATAAAACAGATACGGATAATAGGGTACTTGTAAGGGCATATGTACTACATGGCGAGATATCGTTGGATAAAGTTAGATAACCAGCTCTTGGTTATTTATGGGTCTCCATTGTGGTAACTAAAAATTAACCAGTTAAAAATTCGAGTTTTGAAATAAAATTAGAATATGTTGCATATTCTACGGTGGTATTAGGTTTCGAATTGGTGAATGGTTCCATTTGTTACCCCTGAAAGGTGGGATACTGATGGAATGAAATAATATGGTTTATAGCTCAAGTTGAATTGCAAAATATAAAAAGTATGTTTTCTCCCAAATAGCTCTTAAGGTCGAACCAAATATTTTTCCTTTGGCAAATTACACTGAATAAATCTTTATATATATCTATATCAAAATTAATAACATGTTGTTCAAAATCAAAATTTTTATTAAAATCTAAATTTTCATTACATTGCTTTATTTTTTATTGATCAGATAATTTTTTATTAATTAAAAATTATTGAAACTACAATTGAAATGAATAGTAATAATAAAACTGACAAAGATGATAAAATTGAAGACGATGATATCTCGGTTGAGGATGATGATATCTCGGTTGAGGATGATGATTCGAATGGATCATTTTCAGTGAGAGTCCATGCACCACATGATGAGTTATCATTAGATACAGTTAGATAACCAGTGTCTGGGTATTTATAGGTATAGTCATATCTAACACCGTTTGATATATTGAAAGCATTAACTAAAAATGTATAGGTTAAGCATTCATCATCTGAAAAATTAGAATCTATTACATATTTAAAGGTACTATATGGCTGGTTTTTATAGACTGGTGAGGAAGAGGGTGTGATATATTGTTCCATTTCTCTTTTTTTTCCTTTGAAAAGTACTAAAACACTGGATGGGATGACTGGTGGTTGGCGGTATGTTAAATAGAAATGTAATTCTCCATTCAACCAAAAGTGGGATGCTGATGGGATTGGGTTTTCTAATGAATACCTTGACTCGGCTGAAAAACATAAAAAGTATGTTATACCATTAACAACTCTTGAGGCGGAACCAAAATTATTGTGGTATCGATTTAACATAAGTCTGGGTTGGTTTTCTCTACCTGTATCATAATTGCAATTGGGACTTTCTCCTTCGCATATAAGATTCATTAAGGCTCCATATCCTCGCTCTGTATTCTTGAATGAATCTAAAAGACCAATAGAGTCGAGATTGGGAAAATTTTCTCCAAACCAGACTGGGAAGTATTGAGAAAACTTGGTACCATTACAAAATTGTAAACCAGTATAGTTACAATTTGCTGTAAACACGATATCATCAATCAATTTATTTGATAAAGCATTGAGACCACTGTGGTAATATACTGGTTTTTTGGGTGCAGCAGTAGAGTTGTATAAATAAATCTGTGGAACTTTATTATTTATAGTAAATAAAGGCATAAAACTATGGGAAAATGCATATGGATTATTACGAGCAATATTTATTGTCACTAAACTTGAACGTTCTGAATAAGTTGGATGTCCATCTGCATCACCTAAATTAAATAAAAGATAATTATAAAAAAATTTAATATTTTCATTTTTATATTTTAAATTATTTTTTTCATTTTTTTATTTACCCTCACCATAACTATTTACACCACTGCACAGTAAAATTACAAAAAAAATTGAAACTATTAAATAATTTAAAATATTCATTTTATTATATAAAGTTATATTACAGTTATTTTTATATATTTTTTTTATAATTTAAAAATAAAAAAAAAAAATTAAATGAAAAAAAAAAATTTGGTGGCTTTTTTTGAGGGAAAGCCCATTTTAAAAACTTGAAAAAAAATATCATATTTTAAGTTGTTTTTCCCAAAAATTAAAAAAAAATATTATTATTTTTTTTTTAAAAAAAAAACTTATATATTTTGTGAATATATTTATAGTTAATAAAGAAATGAAGTTCTGTGCAAAACTATTTTGATTATTACATGCAATACTTAATGCCATTAAAGTTGAGAGATCCTGTAAGTTGGATATCCATCATTTAGACTTAATATAAATAAAAAATTTTAATATTTCCATTTTTATACACATTATAATTTTTTTATTTATTTTCTCTCACCAAAACTATTTAAAAAAGATTGAAAAATTTTCATTATATAATATTATATTACAGTTTTTTTTTAGTTGCTTTATTTAAAAGACAAAAACTTAAAAAATTATATTTTTTTCATTTGGTCAGTTTCCCAAAAATCAAAAAAAATTTCCAATTTTTTAAAAATTATAACTATTTATTTTTTTATATAAAACTTTTTTAGTGTAAGTTTGTAATTATATCCAAAATAAATTTAATTAATAATTATTCATATAATGGCCAAAAATAAAAAAAAAAAAAAGAAATATTTATATAAAATAAAAAAAATGAAAAAAAAAACAATTACGTAATTAAACAGTATTTTCCGAATTATTTATAATGAAAAATTTTATTTTTTTTATTTTTTTTTTTTTAAAATTTTATTTTTTTTTTCCAAAGTGAATCGGGAAATGTTGGAATACCATAGATTAAGATGGGATATTTTAATGTACTGCATTTAAATTAAAGTAGTTTTTTTCATTTTTGTATATGTTTGACGCCATTTACCGAGTGGGAACTCTATGCATACTACCTGGTTATGTTAAGATGACCATCTTAATTTTTGTTTTTTTTATTTTTTATTTTTTATTATTTTTATTATTTTCTATAAAAAAAAAAAAAATAGTATAAAAAAGATAACAAAAAAAAAAAAAATTAAATCAGTTTGTACAAATCAAAAACACTATTATTTATATAAATCTATTACACAAAAAAAAAAAACCGAAATTATATTATTAAAAAAAAAAAAAATGAAATTCTCACTTTTTATTACAATCGTTTTATTATTTACTTTATATATATCAAATACAAGGTAAGGATTAAATATTTAAAATAAAAAATAAAATTATAAAATATTAATTTAAAATTTCTTTTTTTTTTTTTTGATTTCCTTATTCAGTGCACAATCGCCATCCATTTCATCAATTACCAGCGTATATAGAAATGAATCACAATTAGTTACAGTAACAGGTACCGGTTTTACCGTTGGAACCAATTTAACATTGAAAAATACATTTACAATGTATGGTGTTTCACTCCTTTGTCCACAAACTGTCTATGTAAACTCTACTAAAATGACCTGCGTAGTTCCACAAATTTGGGCCAGTGACTATACCTCCATCTATTTAAATAATAGCTATACCTCCAGATACCTTACTGTTATTTCTGCTAAAATTGCTTATATGAATATTACCTCAACCGATTCAATCTATGTAAATGGTGATGGCTTCTTAACCAACTCTACTTTTGATTTACAACTTTACAATAACACCAAAGTCCGTTTAACCTGCTATAGTGACGTCGATTACAAGAGTGTCAATTGCGAAGTTCCATTCGATGGTCTTTTAACCGATTGCTTCAAAGTTAACTATGCCGATTCTTTCTATAGCGCCTCAGTAAACTTTTATTTACCACCAACCTTCAGATCAGTAGAGTTATTAGGTAATGCTTTAAAAATGGAAGTCGACTCACACTGTCCATCTAACACTCCATCCTACTCATTCAACATCAACTCTATTCCATTCAGCAGTGTTGTCAAAGCCGAGCCATATTTATTCTTTGAACCATCATTCACTCTCTGCACCGATTTCAGCAAAAAGTTTAACATGAGTTTAACCTCATCATTCTATACCTTTGGCTCCACCAAACTCGAATCCAACGTCATCTTTTTCGACTGTGAAAAAGGTAAAGCTTTCATGGACAATAGTGAAGTCGATCCATTACCAACCGACTCTTCAGATCACTCATCATCATCATCATCCTCATCTTTATTTAACACCATTAACTTTACAATTATTTTAATCTTATCTATAATTTATTTATTCTAAATACCCTATAATATATATATATAAAAAATTAACATATGTTGTTTTTTCACAATAACATATAATAATAATGTTCAAAAAAAAGTTTAATAATACTTTTTCTCTAAATAAAAAAAATTAAAACTATAAAATTTATAAAACTATTAAAAATCTAAAATATAAAATTTATACAAATGATCTTTTTTTTTTTTTTTTTTTTTTATTATTACTAATCAAAGTTTATTTAATAATAAATTAATAGTTTATTTTTTTGGGGCATTTTTAAATTTAACAGCGCCATTTTCAACGCCTACTTCAATTCCTAGATCATTAAGTTCCTTTTGATTTGCAATACCTTCCATCTTTAGATTATTAATAACATTTTGATTTTCTTGATTTTCTTCGCATAAATTTCTAATTGCAAATACAGACCACTCTTTGATGTCTTTATTAAAAAAAAAAAAGGGTAAAAATTAATAATTAATGAATTTTTATAAAAAATTATATTATATACTTACATGGATTTTTAATATCAAAACGACAATGATTTAAAATTAATTCTATTCCACCCAATTCACGAATTTCATTTTGGTTATTAAAATTCTTGTGAGCTAAATTACCTAAAATACGAATAATTTCTTTTTTAAAACCTTTATCTTCAGATTCACAGGATTGATTAAAACCTTTAGTTTTAATATTGGTGTTGTCTTGGTCTGTTTCGCTTGGTGGTGCAGTGTTACTTCCGTCATAATTGCCGTGTAATGAACCTATACAAATACCAACTAAACCTTTTTTTCTTAAAAGTGTATTTAAATCATATTTATCTGTAGAGCTTGGGTCGATTGCATTGTCATGTTGATTGGTTTCGCTTAGTACTCTTGACATTGAATCTACCTCTTGGGTGGCAGAGTTTTTATCGTTGGTTTTGTATTTGGTTAGTTGTAAATGTACCATTTCATCAGAGTAGGTTGTAATGTTTGCAAATATTTTAATAAAGAAAAAAACTGCATCGAAATCGAATTGGTTAAGTGCAGTGGTTGTCTTTTGGGTTTCGCCTGATAGGTCTTTACGGCTAAAGTCCATATTGTAAAGTATTGATAATTCATCCAACATGTAAAAGCAGGTTTTGATATCGATGATTGAGTTGTTTTCAATATACTCTTTGACATTCTTTTGTTCGTTATCATTAATGGTTGAGTCTAATAGATTTAATAGTTTAATTTGATATCTATTAGTTTTGCCATCTTTATAGTATTTCTTTGTTTTGGTTTTAGGTATCGATTCATCAATGTCGTTAATTGATGCAGTTGATGTTGTTTTACCACTTGTTGGAAGATTATCATAATCTGTGTTTGGAACAACTTCTATTATTTCCTCGGCAGTTGATAATAGTTTATATATTTCTATAAATTGCTGATTTTTAAATAATAATTTAAATATTAAATGAATCCAATGGAATAAAGTATCCTCATATTCTTCATCATTACTATTATCTTCATCTTTAATTAAATCTAAAATGCTTTTTATAAATTCGATATTATTATTATTATTATTATTATTTTCTGATTCACTTCTTGATATTTCTTTCATTCTTTCTTTGCTATTTAATATTAAATTATATATTAACATTAAATTGGTTGGTAAAATTTTAAAGCAGTCATTTCTATTATTATTAATTAATAAGCTGTGAATAGTATGTCAGTATGGTATGGTATGAGCATAAAAGTATTATCGATTAATACATACAATAATTTATTTGGAAATAATTTATAATGGTCCCATAATAAAGTTTGAGTGTTTTCATTTTGCACAATACTATTGATTAATAACTGTTGTAATGCTACCAATATATTCTTCTTTCTATTGTTTTCAATTTCATTATCTAATGTTGTGTTGGAATTTTCAATTAGTTCTTGAAGTAAATAGTTTATAAATAAATCATTCGATACAATTATATCTTGATTTTCATTAACATTTGCACATAAATTTCTTAAGAAACGAATTGATAATAGATTAAATTTATATAGTTTTTCATTTTTAATATTATTATTGGTTATTATAAAGCCCATGAGTTGATTTAAAAATTCTTTAAACTTTGAAACATCTTTTCTTATTTGAAAATCTTTTGAAAGATTTAATAATTCTGTAATTTGATTTATCATATCATCATAGTTGTTGTATGATTCATTATTACTATTATTATTATTAATATTTAAATTATTTACTATGGTTTTTATAATGTCGTCCAATGATTTCATCTTATAATTAATTAATTAAATTTACAAAAAACGAAAAAAAATGAAAAATAAAAAAAAATAAAAAAAAAATTAAAAAATTTAAAATTTTAAAAAAATAAAAAAATAAAAAAAAATATTTTAATTTAATTAAAATAAAGTTTTAAAGATTTAATTTTTTTTTTAATTAATCAAAAATTTTTTTTATAATTTTTATAATTTTGATTGAAAAATGATTGTTATTTTTTTTTGGCAGGTCCAATATTATTTTACATTCAAAAAAATTTAAATATTTCATTATAATTCCAAAAAATTTCTTTGCTATATCTCATTAAAATTATTTTTGATTATAATTTTTCATTTATCAAATGTTAAAAAAAAGTGGGAGTTATTTATAGTTTAAAAATAATTTTTCTTTTATGAGAGGTTTTTTTTTAACTTTAAAATTGTTTTTTTATATAAATTATTTATTATTTTATAAATTTAATAACTAAAAAAAATAAAGTTAAAAATATTTTCTAAATAATAATTAAATAAAAAAACAATGTTTAATTTATATAGAAATAATAGGAATATAATTTATAAATAAAAAAACAAATTAAAGGTTTATTATAAACTGTAATGTTGTAGTGTTGGTTTTAATTATTTGTTTTTTTAAATTTTTCTTTATTATTTTTTTTTAATAATTGTTTTTAGATTGTGTCAATAGTATAAATTCCCTTTTTAATGGTTCGATATCAAACACTTTATAGTTTTTATTATGGCCGCAGTAATAGTTAAAAAGAAAGTCAATGATCGAAATCATCTTGGTTTGTAATTGATCATTTTTGTAATTACTCTTGAGCAACTCTTTAGTGGCATCGACTATCCATTGATCATTTGGGAGCAACCAGGCTTTATTTAATTCTTCTATTTTTTCCATGATTGATTAATATTTAAAAAAGAAAAAAAAAGAAAAATAAAAGAAAAAAATTATTGTTTGGGTGTTTTTTTTTTTATTTAATTTGACTTTTTTAAAGGGTTGTAAAAAAAAAAAAAAAACAAAAAAAAAAAAAAAAAAAAAATGTGGTAAACAACACAAATAAAAAAAAATAAAAAAAAATAAAAAAATTAAAACTATGGATTTAAAATTTAAACATTAATCTAATTTTATTTTTGTATAATTTATTATTATTTTTTTAATTTTTTTAAAAAAAAAGATAATTTTGTGATAAATTCACTTTTTTTTTTAATTTTTTTTTATAAAATTAAAAGAAAAGATTTTTTTTTTTGGTTAATAAATTTATAATTATTGTTGTTTTATCTTTTATGAAGGCACAGGATATGTTTCTACATCGATATTTTCAATTATTGGCCATAGGTTCGAATCCTTTCTATACTCTCTCGAGTAAAGTAGCTCAGTGGTAGAGCGATAATATTTTAAACAAAAACATCCCGAGACATTCGCTATCCTTCTTTTTGTTTTTTTTTTTTTTTTTTCTTTATTATAAAATTATTTTTTTATTTATATCTTCATTTTTTTTAAAAAAAAAAAAAAAAATTTATTTATAATTTTATTATTACATTTATTTTTAATTATTTATATTTTATATTTAATTAGTTTCCTTTTAAAAAATTTAATAAAAAATAAACAAAAGGTTTGATTATAACATTATATATATTAATTAATAATAAAATAAATATTTATTTTAATTGAAACCTATTTATTTGAATTATTTTAAAATCACTTTAGTATATTTATAAAAGGATTATAAAAATAAAATTTCAAAAAAAAATATAAAAAGAAACTATTTTAAATGATAATTTTGATTCATTATTGTAATTATTACTTTTATTTTAATCAAACCATTTCTGCGGGGTGCTTGTGGTATGAAATTAAATTTAATTTAGCGCTTTTTTTATTTGAAAATTAATATTTTTAATTTTTTTAATTTTTTTAATTTTTTTTTTTTAATTATTTTAAAATTATAATTTTTTTATGGTAATTTATTAATGTTAAAATGTATCTAAACAATTTTAAAGTTAATGAAAATATAATTAATATAATGCAATAGTTTAATTTAATTTTTTTTGGGGTGTTAAATGTGTTGATATAAAAACAATTAAAATAAATAATTAATTTCTTTATTTTACAAAAAAAAAAAAAAAAAAACATTCATAGAGATATTTTTGTATATATATAAATTTATTTTACAATAATTTTTTAATTTTATAAACACACACATATAAAAATTAATAATAAATAATAGCACATTTACCCCTCACATTTTTATCATACACACAGACACACAGATACACACAATAGTATCATATTTTTATTTGTACATAAATTCAAAAATAGTATAATATTGAATAAAAAGAAATAAAATAAAAATAAAAATAATAGTATTAGGGAAATTAATCTTTATATTATTATTTATATCTTTTTTTGTTTAGATTAAGATTATACTTAAATAATAATGTGAGTAATTAAAATAAATCAATTATTATAAAATATAAAAATATATAAAATAAATCATTTATTAACTCTTTTTTAAATATTTTATAGTAATTATTATTTATTAAATATTTATAATTTTTTTATGTATAATAAATAGTTTTTTTTTTTTTTTTTTTTTTTTTTTTTTTTTAATGGCCAAATTTTAAATTTTTTTTCCCATAAAAAAATAAAGTAATAAAATAATAGTTCATATTTAAATTAATTAATTGTATTATTATAATAAAAAAAAATTGTATTTAAAATAATTATAATAATAAAAAAATAATAAAAATTATAAAAATCATTAAATAAAATTATAAAATGGTTTCAAAAATTTTACCAGGTATATTAAAAAAAATATTAGGATCATATATTGAGGGTTTAGATAAATTATCAATACCATTTTGGAAGGGTGAAATTGTTTTAGAGAATTTAAAATTTAAAAAAGAGTTATTTTCATCCAACGAAATTCCTTTTCAATTATTAAGTGGAGTTATCAAGAGGGTAGTAATTACAATACCGTGGCTCCATTTTTTAAAAGATCCAATAATAGTAAACATCGATGGAGTATTTCTATTATTTGGTCCTAAAGATATTATTACAACTTTTGGTAGTTACAAGTCAAAAAAGAAAGCTGAAGGAAAAGACCCTAATCAACCGGGCAATGAAAGTGAAATTAAAGATGATGCATTCTTAAAACCAAATATATCCAAAGAAGATTTAAAGAAGATTCAAAGTACAATCGATGAAGAGCAGCAAAAAGGAATTACCGAGGGAAGTGATGCCGAATCCTTAAAGTTTAAACTAATGAAAAAATTATTAAAATGCATAAAGATTCAACTAAATAATTTACACATATGCTATCAAGATGATAAAACATCACCAGGAGAAATATTTTCTGTCGGTGTAACATTAGAGTCATTTACATTTCAAAATACCGATTCTCAATGGGTACCATTATTAAGCAAAAATTATTATTTACAAAATAACGATATCAATTATGATAATGATAGCCATCACAATCCATTCATGTCAAATCCGACTTCAACATCAGGTACAGCAGGTGGTGCACCATTAAATCCTTCAGTATCTTCAATGAGTAGGTCAAGATCAAACAGTAATTTATCTACTGCATCTGGTAGAAGGAGAGATAGCATAGATTTGTCAAGTGGTATCGAAAGTGAAGGACTGCGTAGAAGTGTATCTGGTATACCTCCACTAAGTATTAACAGTAGTAATATTAACAGCGATACAAATTCAATATCATCTACAAATACAAACACTGCAGAATCATCTTCATCTCACACCAATTATACACATAATAAACAAAAACAGAATCAAGACGAGCAACCAGGTCAAATTGTCGACCAAATAATCACATATAAATTGGCATCTATTTTCAACTTTTCCATTTATTGGGATTCTCAATTTGGTAAAACTAGAATGGTGACACCAGATGACATGGATGTACTTTTAATGCACTCAATACCTAGACAAAAGGCTAAAATTAAACACAAGTATATATTGCAACCAATTTCAGGTTTTCTCAAGATCTGCCTAACCGAAGATTCAGTAGAAAGTGTTAATAAAGAAGGTGTATTCACATCAATTGTAAATAGTTTTCATATTAGCATTGGCTTAAAGCAAATCGACTTTCATTTAATGGATATTCAATACCGTGATATGTTAAATCTCTTATCATTTTATCAAGATTGGCGTAGAGTACTCAGATACCACAAGTTTAGACCCAATGTACCTGTTATAGGTAATGCTAGAAGATGGTGGCATTTTGCATTTAGATCTATTATTTCCGATTTTAGAAGCAAAAGAACTGAACTTTCTTGGAAAGAAATTGAAGATTCAAAGAAAATACGTGAATGTTATATTAAATTATATACTGAAAAATATATCAAAGGAAAAGTAAGTAAAAACAAAAAATAATAAAAGTTTAAATTTTATATTAATATTAATAAAATTAATATTATTTTTAGTTAAACAGATTGGATCAAAATTTAATTGAAGAAATTGAAAAAAAAGTTACATATGAAGATATTATTTTATTTAGAACTATTGCAGAAAGAGATTTAAAAGTTTCAAATAGAAAAGATTTGGATCAATTTACAGAGTCAGCAGGTTGGTGGTTAGCAGGGTGGTTAGGATTTCAACATCAAAATAATAAAGATAGTGATAAAATTACTTTAACCAACGAAGAATTACATTTCCTGGAGAGATATTTAAGAGTTAATTTAAAAAAATTAGCTGGTAAACCACATTCATCAATTTCAATAAATTTCTTTGTAAATATCAAAACATTATCTGCCTGTATATTGGATTGGAGAGAAAATCATACTGTAGTTCAATTGGCCAATGCCGAAATCACTGAAGTAAATTTACAAATCGAACAAGCATATAATCTTAAAATGAAGTTTTCAGCTCAGTCACTAGATATCTATGATAGATGTAGCCCAAATACAAAGTTTGAAAATATTATATTAGAAAAGAGTAAATTTAGAGGATATAGTGATAATACCGATCTCGATTTGGAAAAGAAGTTTATAGATATTTCATTAATATTAAATCCGCCAGAAGATACCACCGATTATTTTATCAATTTAAAATTAGAGCCATTTTATCTAATCAACTCCAAACCATTTGTCGATACAATGATTCCATTCTTTACTCATGCAAATCAAGAGGCACTTGACCGTTTAAAGTATTCATTTATAAAGAAAATAAAGATTCTCCAAGAATACTTGATTGGGGAATTAAAACATTTAATTAGAAACCAAAAAGTTGCAGATATAAAGTTGGATATCTCTGTACCTGGATTAGTTTTCCCAGAGTCTTATGACCGTGAAGATACTACAATGTTGGTATGCAATTTAGGACATTTAGTATTCAAAACTCAACCTCACAATAGCGAATGGGACTCGATGGATTTCTCAGAGATTAACGAACAAGATGAAACCGATGAAATTTTTGTAAGATATTGTCAGCTTTTAAAGGATCGTATAAAATGGTGGAATGACAATTGCCCAATCAATAAAATAAATGAACCAATCGAAAAACAAAGCTATGTTAAAAACTATGTTCAACAACACCGTAAAGCAATAGAGGGTGGTATAGAAGATAGCGCTAAATACCCAGAATCTGATGACATTGACGAGACCAAAGCCGAACAAGAGGGTTTCGATTCTACTGACACTGATTGGAATAAAGTTTCAGTTAATGTTAATAATGCACAATTCTATGATGGTATTATTTTAACAATCAATGAAATTTATATTAAAGTTTGCAATTTTTCAGAGATTAGCAATTTCGAGTACTTGGTTTCTCCATTCAACTTTAATATATTTTTAGAGCTATGTTCCAGACCATACGACTTGAAGCTACCACAAATTAAATGCAAAGCAGAGTTATCAACAGTTAATATTCAAGTTGAAGATAAAGAGCTTTATGAAATCGCAAAGATTGTTGGTAAAAACGGTATTTTAGAATACTTTATGGACATTGATAGAAAATCGTCAAAAGAGTTGGCTGATATGTACGAGGTAATTCAAGTTAAAAAACCAAAAAAGAAAAGCTTTGAAATCGAATTTCAATTATTCTCAGATACCAAGTCAATTTTAAACTCAAGAAAACGTACCAAAGAAAGACTCATTAGGACCACTTTGCTTAGATTCTTCTTTTCGAGTAATTCAATCAATTTGAAATTAAATTATTTGGATAGTTGCTGTTTATCAATGAACATCGAGAACATAAGATGTCGAAGTTTAGTTAAATTTATGCAAATGAATATAGAGTTTGATATTGCATCCATAGAAATTAAAGATTCAAATTCTATCACACCCGTATTGGCTATATTTCCATATCATATCAATACAAAAAGTTTAAATAGAAGTGGTATTCAAAATTCAACATCATCAACAACATCATCATCAAATAATAACAGAAACGAATGTTTAAACAAATATCCAATTTCAATTTCAGCAAAATCAATAAGTAAGAATTCATTAGATTACGATTATATTGACTTTATATTAGAATTAAATACCCAATTCATTCGTGTTAATTTCCCCAAAGAATGTATTATGGCATTGATAGCAATTATTGGTACAGTCGCAACAAATACCACAAATTTCTATGAATCTAAACAATCGATACTCACTGTTGAAGGTTCATTTTATCAAGGTAGAATAGGTCAGTTTGATCAAACCCAACAACCTAAACCTCAAGCCCACAAGAAACACCACTTGTCAGAACGTTTAGAGACCAACGAATTTGATCCAAATGATTTAAAGTCAAAGATTTCAATAAACATACCATCCTTCGGTTTAACTCTCAGCTCCATAGAAAATGACTTGGTTTCGTTCCATTTTGAAGAGATTTCAATTGATGGTATTTTTCAATTGCCATTGGTCGATTGCCAATTAATTGTTAGAGATATGAAGTTTATTGATTACACTTCATTGGATGGACCTTACCCAAATATGTTAATCACTCAAAAACCACACAGTAGCAACAATCCGGGTAACCCAGTTGTAAAAATGCATTTAGTAAGCCATGCTGACATCAAAACTCAAGAATGGGGCTATAGCAGATTGATTAATATTCAAGTTGGTAAAATTCAAATCACCCTACTATTTCAAACTATCAATTTGATTAGATTATTTGTTTTTGATATTACTCAAGCATTAAAAGAATATTGTCCATTTTTATTTAAAGTTATGGCAATTGTAGAAGATGATGTCAAAAAAGAAAATAAAAAAGAGAAAGAAAAAGAAAAAGAAGAGGAAACCGGCCAATATAGACACAGAGAGCCAGGTGAAGAGTCCCCAATTATAGAAATTGTAAAAAAGAAAAAGAATTTAACCAATTTAGAAATTGAGATTGATAACAATGTAGTTATTCTACCAAAGAATAATAGATCAAAGAGTGCAATTCGTTGTAGTGTTGGTAAAGTTATTTTGGGTTTGGACCAAACCGATCCAACAGTTGACTCTGTCTTTGTAAAGATATATGGTATTAATATGGCATCCAAGTATGAGGATCATATTGATCCTATTATTTCTGACCCAGTTCGTATGGATATTCAATTCATTCATTCTTTTGAAACTTCATTAAAAGAGAAATCGGTAGATGTTATTATACGTATGGAGAAGATCAATCTCAAGTTGTCACAGTATCAATATAATTTGATTTATAATATCTACAATCAAAATATTAACCAATCAGTCGTGCCAGGTCCACCTCCATCATCCACTTACACTGTAGAAAGATTGAACAAGCTCTTGGATATCCGTTTAGAATTTAAAGATTTTGTTGAATTAAACTTAGAGGACGAGAATACCAATGATACAAGATTCTTTTCAATGCTAATCAATAGGCCAATTATTATGTGTCAGGTTTGGAATAATGGTGACTCTGATTTTCTCATCAAAACAACCCATATTAGTGTAAGAGATAAAAACAAATTAGTTGTAATTCCTAATGGTTTCCAAGAGATGATCAGTATCACACCATATGAATTAGATGTACCAACTAAAAACATTATTAACCAATCAATTAACGAGGTATTTTTTAATATTCTATCAATGAATATTGATGGAAGCGGCACAAGAATCAATATTACAATCGAATATTTAAACATTTTCTTTGACTTACCATGGGTTTCAAAATTAATTACATTTTTATCACCAATTATGGATCCAGATTACATCAATTCTATGGCAGCTACATCTTCAATCCAACCTCCACCACCACCACCAAAACAAGTAAATATTCAAGAGCCATCTGAAACAACTTCATTTAGTAGCGGTGAATCATCAAGTCAATCACGTCGTAGGCATTCAATATCTGCCGCTCAACAACAAGCTCAACAACAAGCACAGGCTCAGTTAAACAAGGACTGGAAAATCTTTTTAAATATTGAAGTTGTTGCCAAGAATGCAAATATCATGATGGGTGACCTTAATAGCAAAAGTGAATTGGTATTGTTAATGAATTCATCTCTCTCTATAAACTCTCAATTTGGTTCTGAAGGTTTAATGAAAATTGTATTGGAATACAACTGTATTAAAGGTCTTATTGGTTCAAGATCAAAGAATCCATTAACTTCTGTTTCAAATCCATCCTTATCATTGCTTACCAGTAGTAACCGTGATTTAGGTGCACAGAAGAATACCACACATTATCTATGGAGAGATTTAAAGAAATCATCTAAATTATTTTTAGAAACATTCAAAACAAATGTTCAAATTTGCATGGTACCAGAGGGTAATCAATTTTATTTCTGCGAGCTTAATGACCTAACATTAGTATTCTCTGGTAAATCTTACAGATATCTATTGGATATCTACGAGTGTCTTTCAAACATAATTTATAGCAGTTCAAAATCTAAAGATATTACAAATGAAAATATTGAAATAAAAAATTCAAGATCTCAATCAATTTCAAGTGATTTACCAATACCAATTAACATTAGACATTCAGGTTCAAGCTTAAAAACCAATCATATTAATACAAATGAAAAAAATAAAAATCAATTTTATCAAATCAAAACCAGATCAGTTGAAATGTTAAGAGCTCATCAAAGTAGAATATCAGAAAAATATGAAAATACATTTTCGCCAAAACCAATTAGAGAATATGATTCAGAAAATGAATTTGAACAATCATCAGATGAAGAAACAAATTCAAGCTTATCAACTGCTCCTTTATCAGCACCTCAGTCTCGAAATAATAAACCACAAAGCAATAATTTAAATATCAAGAATGAAAACCAAGGTAGCAGTGGTAAACAACGTAACGAATATGAAAACGATATAAAGAAAAATAATGGCACAATAACCAAAATCCAATTCTCTCAAATTGCAATTAGCATAAAGAATTTAAATATCATAATTATGGATGACCTCAGTAAACATAAAATGAATACTCCAATTTTCAATACAAAATTAACTTATGGTTTCTTGAAGGCAGTTTTAAAGACAACTAGAATCGAAGTCGAATTTGACTCTGTTATTCAAATGAACTATTTTAACAATCGTATTGCATATTGGGAACCATTCATCGAGCCATGGTTATTTAAGTCAATGATGACTCTTGGTAAAGAATTGTCCATTGATTTATTTTCTACAGATTTGCTTAATATCAATTTTACAATACCACTAATGGATAACATCAGTCTATTCCTTAGAACATATAGCAAAGAATTTGGTTATCCTTTCACTTTAATTTGTGCTCCACAAGATGACAAGAAAGCATCTCATAAAAACCCTCATAATAGACATTCTCTAATTGGTCAAATTAAAAGAATCAAAGAGAAGAACAATACAAAGACCTCATATTCACCATTCTTTGTACGAAATAGAACCGGTTCAAGACTAAGATATCGTTTAGAAACTGAAGATGGCAAACCAGTAATGGGTGTTAATTATAAAACAGAAGGCCCAGTACGTGTTATTAACATTGAAAACTATGGTCTTTTCTTTGAATTGGACTCTGGTGATTGTACACCAATTAAATTTTTACCAGATGTTCAAATTAATTTAGAAACTTTTAGCCAATTAGTATTAGCTGTTGAATTGTTAGGTGTAGAAAAATCAATATCAATTCCATTAGATAAAATCAAAGTTTATGATTATCAAGTGTACTTGGATAGCACCACCGAAACCAAACTATTTGCAAATGTCGGTATTAAACGTGGCACTAAATTAATTACCATACAATTCCCAATAGTTCTCAAGAATACAACATCATTCCCAATTGATATTGCTACAGTTACCTCAGGATTCGGTGACACTCAAATGCCAAATTACACTACTACAATTCAAGTCGGTCAAGCGAGAGCACCGTTACCAATCAATAGAATGAAAAATGTATTGATCAAGTTTAAACCATCAGGAGACCAATATAAATGGAGTACCGAGACATTGGATATTAACAACATTATCGATGGCGAAGATAAATACAGCTGCATATTAAAGAACGGTGAAAAGATTTACTATATCAAAGGTTTTGTTTTCCACAAGAATGAATGTGCAATTATCAAACTATGCCACATGTTGAAGGTAAAGAATTTATTACCATACCCAATTCAATTCAAATTAAGAACACCAATAGAAAACATCCCATTACTAAAGAGAGAGTCCCAAGCAACTGTTCAAGATCTTGAAAAAACTCAAGTATATGAAATACCATTATTGGATAAATTCAAGATTCAGGTTAGAATAGCAAATAAAGATGGCTCATTTGACAATTGTGAATGGAGTGAAGTAAAATCAATCGTTGAAAAAGAAGATAATCACCAAATTAGTGTTATAACCATTTCAGATAGTAATAACCTCAAAGTAGACTTTCTTCATTTAAATATCGAATTTATTTCTTACAAAGGTGAAAAAAAGATTGTATTTTACAATCAATATTGGATCTATAACAAGTCTGCATTAAATATATTTTGTAAAAAGAGTTATCATTCAAAAGACTATACAGAAAGCCAAACCAATTTCAACCATTTTAGTGAGCTCACCAAACCAAATGAACCAATAATTGTACCTGCTGAAAACTGGTATTCATATCAGTTGGAAAAAGAGTCACCAATTCTATACTCATTCAAGCGTCTTAAAGATATGGAGAACAGTTTACGTATTCGTGTTGGTAGCTCAAACTGGTCACATAAATTTTCTATTGCTGCAATTGGTGATAGGGGTGACATTGTTGTGTCAACTGTAGAGAAGAAACAAACTCGCCACTATCACTTGGGTCTATCAGTAGATTTAGCACCAAATTTAAAGACAAAAGTAGTTGTTTTTACACCAAGATTTGTTTTTCATAATCTATTTTCCCACACTATATTAATCCAACAATGTGGTCCAAATACAGAATCTACACTAATTAGAATTGCACCATCTCAATCAGTGCCATTTTATTATTTTGTTGACAATCGTGACAGTGAAAGTAAACAAAAAACACTTCGTTTCAAATTAGATTATTCAGAATTTGATTGGTCCCCACCATTTTCAATCCAAACTTTCTCAGATTTTACATTCCAAGTTTACAACAACTCTGAAAAAGAACCAGAAATCCATTGCACACCATACATTAGAATCAAAACTTGTTTAGAGGTAGCAACTGTGTTGGTAATTATATCAGAGTTAAAAGATTCACCATATCGTATTATGAATAATACAAACTATCAGATCAATGTTTCACAAAAGAAAGTTGGAAAATCAATTTCAGTGGAACCACATCACTCATTGCCATATTGTTGGGATTTACCATTGGAAGAACATGAATTAGAGGTTACTGTCAATGTATCAGATACTCAAACGGAAAAAGCTACATACAAAGTCGATAAAATCAAAACATTCAAGCCAATGGAGTTTAATGATAACTCAAGACCTGAAGGAGCCATTACCATTAAAGCCACAGTAGAAGCAGACGAATCCACAAGAGTTTTAACGCTAAATGATAAAATAGGTTTACAAATTAGCAAATATGAAGAGGAAAATCTTAGACAATCATTTAGAATCCATTTAACTGGTATTGGTATTTCAATTATTAACTCAAATCCAACAGAATTACTTTATGTTTCAATTCATGACGTTCTATGCGAATATTTTATCTCTAACTTCCTCCAAAAACTAGAAATGAAACTAACAAATATTCAAGTTGATAATCAATTGTCAAAGATTACCCCGTATTCCCACCCCGTTTTACTATTTGCCGAAAATCTCTTACCAAATCAACCATTTCTTCAAGTTAGAATTGTAAGATCAATGAAGATGAAAAACATTGACTATTACCACCATGTTTCATTAAAAATGCAAGAATTAAATATAAAGGTGGAAGAAAAATTTTTATATGTTTTATTAGAATTTTTTAATAGTTTAGGTTAGTAAAAGAAATAATTATTATAAATAGATATAAATTGTAAAAAAAAATTTACATATATATTAATTAAATTATAATTTTTTTTTTAGATTTTTCATTTTGGACAGGTAACAAAAAAACTAAAAGTACACTTCATAATATGGATATGTTAACACCAATGTATGCAGATGATATAGGTGAAGGATTTATTGATGAAATGATTTCAAGAGCTTTACCTTCAATTTATGGAAAGAAAATGTATTTTGAATCGTTAGATATAGAACCAATTTCAATGTTTTTAACATTTGATTTATCAAATAAATCTGGATCGATTACATCTTTAGAGCAAGCACCAATGGTAAGAGCATTCAGAAGAATCGGTTTTGTAATTGTTAGTTTCCAACATGCACATATATTTTTAAATGGTTTCTCATTATCGCACGCATTTGGTTCAAATGAAGAGTTATTGGCTCCAATTTTCAATCATTACTTTAGTGAAACTTTATCCGAGGTTTATAAAATACTGGGCGCATTCAATTTGTTTGGTAACCCAGTAGGGCTAGTTAAAAACTTTGGAATTGGTTTCAAGGAGTTCTTTGTCGGTATGGGTAAAGGTGTAGTCGGTAATAGCTTTGCCTCAAGCTTTAGCCAAGGTTCTAAAAGTTTAGCCAAACACTCTGTATATGGTTTATTTGATAGTGGTGCTAAATTCACTAGTAGTGCTGGTAAAGCTCTTTCGACTATGTCAATGGATCAAAGATTCATATTAGAGAGACAATACATCATTGGCGAGTCACCAAACAATTTCATGCAGGGTTTAATTTTGGGTGGTAGAGCTGCCAAAACTGCTGTATATCGTGGTTTTTCTGGTTTTGTACGTCTTCCATATGAAGGTGGTAAAGAACAAGGTGCAAAAGGTGTATTCAAAGGAATTGGTAAAGGTACTGCTGGTTTAGTATTAAAACCAGTTGCCGCTGGTTTCGATTTCGTTAGTAAAGTATCCGAAGGTATCAAAAACTCCACGCAACTAAATATTGAACGAAAGAGAATCAGATTCCCAAGACCTCTATTCAGCGATTCGCCATTAGAAACCTATGACTCTGCAGAATCTTATGGTAATTTCTTATTTTTAACTTATATTATCACAACTGGTAAACTCAGACGTATTAGCGCAGATCAAATCAATTTACCATTAATGGAAGTTGTTTCAAAAGATGAAAAATACATTTCGCATTTAATTTATAAAAATAAGAGAACCCTGTTATTTACAAATAAACGTATCATTTATTTCTATGATACAGATGGCTTTAGAACTAAATTTGATGTCAAATATAAAAGAATCGTTGGAATCATAGAGAAATCAGACCACATCGACATTGAAATCGACAAGAAACATAAACTATCATTCCTTTATAAAGAAAAGAACAAAAAAGTTGACTATAGTATCAAATGCAATGGTGATGAAAGAAACTATATTTTCCAGCAAATTGAAGAACATTGTAAAATTTATAAACAAAGCGATGGAATCGTATTCAGAAGTTTAGCTTCAAAACCACCTATACCTCCACCACCACCACCACCACAAGCATTATTGGCATATAATGATCCATATCAACAATTAGCATACCAACAACCGGTTCAATACTTTAATAAAAATACCAATAATATCAATAACGTTCAATCCAGCAAATCAATTCAACCAATTATTTTTACAAATAATAACCATGATCCAATGAAATCAAACCCAATTTTAGAAAATTTATTAGCTCAGGCTCCTAATAAAAATATTGATATTCCAATATGGATCTCCCAAGGATATAATCCACCACAACCTCCAACTACAATGATCCCACCAAGATTCAGAGATCCAAATTTATATAGTGCTCCATACAACAGCGGATATGTTTATTCAACCTTACCATCATCCCAAACATTATCACCAAATGATCAATTAATTATCAATCAAAATGAACAAGATAATATTTCAATCCAACAACAACATTTACAACAAAAACAGGAACAACTACAAAAGCAACAACAAAATTTACAACAACAACAACAACTTTCAATTGAATACCCATCACCATCTACTTGCAACACTCCCCACCCACACCCACCAATGTTAAATTGTGAACCATATTATAATGACAATTTTAGTAATACAGGTGATATAGGGACAAAAGGAAATATAGGAACAGGTACAAATCGTTTTAAGGATACACCTTCAAATCTCAAAAGTAATTTTTCAAGAGCGGTTTCATCTAGAGATCTTTCTAGTGCACAGGTAAGCTCTAGTGTAAGAAAATTAAAAACTCCACACCATTATACTGTAAGATTTGATCCAACCCAAATTAATCCTGAGGATTATAATCTTCACAATGTAAACACCAAACCACCTCCAACGACTCCATCCGAACCTCCACAATATTTACACTCCCAATACTCTCATCCCCATTTACACCCACATCAAATGCTTCAACAAACTCCAGGTACAAATTATGATCAAAAAACCCCATATACCTCTACAACAACAACTACCACAACCTCAATTGAAAGACCACCATTACAACAACAATTCTCTAGTAACTCAATAATTGAAACCCCAAATTATAGGAGACAAAGATTAAAACAACAACAACAACAACAACAACAGGTTCAACAATATCAAACACCAAATAACATTTCTTTAACCCCTTCTGGAGATTTTAACTATAATGATAAATTTGATTTAGCAATTAATACAATTATACAAATTCAAAAGATTCAATCCCAACAAATGTGCCAACTTCAAAAGAATCAAAATGAAATTTTACAAAAACTATTATTCCAACAACAACAAAATACAGAATTTGATAATTTAAAAAACCAACAGGAACAAATTCAAAATATTATTTCACAATACCACCCACTAAGTCCCTCTAAAGCAAATCTTCTAAATAAAATTCAAGAAAATGAAAACCAATCGACTGGTGGTGCTTCTGATTAATTAATAAAATTTAAGATAATTTCATAAAAAAAACTTTTTTATATTATAATATATATAATATTTATTTTATTTTATTCTCTCTCTGTTTTTGATTACATTTATAATACATTTTTCCATTTTCAAAAAATCGTTAAATTCAAGATTTTGTATGATTTTCTTTACAAAGTTTAAAAAACAAACAATAATAATCATTTTTTGTTCAATAAATAAAAATTATATCATGAAGAGCTATTTTTAATAAAAAGGAAAACAGTAAAAAAACAAACATATTATATATAAAAAAAAAATTATATTATATTTTATTTAAAAATTTAATGATGTATCCTATAACTGAAAATTTAAAAACCATTTGATGTTCCAATATATTTGCCTGGCCAGGGAAAATGTATTTCTTTCATCAAATAGATTGAACTATGATATTATCTTAAATATTTGTTTCTATTATTATTATCTTTTTTAAATTTTTTTAATTTTTTTTACTAATTTTTGATTCTATTATTATTATTTTTTTTTTATTTTTTTTTTATAAAATTAATAATTATTATTTTCTAGTTTCATTTTTAAACCTATAACTATTTATTTAAATTTTCATCTAACTTGAATGCTGATACTGATGATGAGGGCAAGAATGCTGGTGATGAATGCTGATGATGGTGATGATAACAATGAGGGGCAATATGAATACTGATGATGAGGGGCAAACAATGATAATGGTGAATACTGATGATGATTATGCTGATAATGAATGCTGATGCTGATGTAGATGATGTTGATGCAGATTCTGATAATGATGCAGATAATGATCATGATCATGAATGCTGTGGATGCTGGTGATGAATGCTAATGATGAATGCTCATTATGATGATCAATGATGCTGATGAGGCTGATGATGATCATGATGTTGACAATGATCATGATGATTAATGCTGATGATGGTGATAATGACAATGATGACAATGATTCGGTGCAAGATGAATACTGATGATTCGGGGCAAGATGAATACTGATAATGAATGCTGATAATGATTCTGATAATGATGATGATTCGGGGCAAGATGAATGCTGATAATGAGGAGAAAACAATGATGATGAATTCTGATGCTGAAGAGGAGGTAAGATGAATGCTGATAATGATTCGGGGCAACATGAATGCTGATAATGAGGGGCAAACAATGATGATGAATTCTGATGCTGAAGAGGAGGTAAGATGTTGTTGAGGTGATAAGAGGAGGATCCGTTCAAGAAAACAACAAAAAGGATAAAAGTTACTATATAATATCCCATTTTTTTAATTATTATTTAAATAAAAATAAAAGAAACTATTTACAAAAAAACAAATAATAATATTTGATTTTTTAAAAAAAAAAAATGCAAAGAAAAAGATGAAAAAATAAAAAAAAAAATAAAATTAGTATTTATTTTTTCACATATTATATATTTATATATAATTACCTTTTTGTTTGTTTGACTAATATAATTTATAAAGAAAAGAATTATGAATTATTTGAATATTGATAAAACGAAAAAAAAAAAAAAAAAATTTCCCCCACACACCACAAAAAAAAAAATTAAAAAAATTTTAATAAAAAAAAGAAAAAAATATAATTTAATTAAAAAAAATGAAATTTACCACACTCATAAAAAAAGAATAAGAAATTGCGAACAACATTTATAAAAATTATAATAAAAATTTTTTAACATTATAATAGATTTTATAATAATAGTTTAAATTTATAAATTTTTTTTTTTCAATCTAAAAGTCCACTTTAAGGAAAGTATAATTTATTCTTAAAGAAACAATCATTATTCGATTTAATTTTTCAAATAATGGTTGATATTTTTAATTAATTATCAAAAATAAATAATTTCTCTTTTTACAACTTATTTAGAATAATAATTTAATAAAAGTTGGGGTCTACATATATTTGGGCACTGTAAGTTGTATTATATAAATGTGTTGAAGAAATATTATTAGGTAAAAAATTTATTGTATAGTGGGATCATCTTTATTTTGCACGCTCAAACTAAACAAGAGACTCTAAAAAGATTAATTAGATGGTTAAAAATAAATAGTTTAGATTTAATAAGGATGAATTAGATCATATCGAGGGGAAAATATAGCTGCGGATTTACTCAGTCGTAATGCCAAGTTTTATAATGAAGAATCTTAATAGATTCAACAACCAATTAAAGAAGACTAGTTTTAGTAAATAAAGATCAAAATACTATATTAAAAATTTAAAAAAATAAAAATAAATAATTCAAAAATAAACGATTTTATCATAACATAAATAAATACATATTTTTATAACCTATTATTTGCTTAATATATTCCTATCTATATTACAAACCAAAAACTATTTTTTAATTTTTTAAATATTTTAAATTATTTTATTTTTAATATTTAATTTTTTAAATATATAATTATAACTCTAATATTTAATTCTAAAATGTATATGAATACATTACACAACTCCACTTTGACTAAAGACAAAATAAGCTTCCTCCAACACTAACCATCTATATTATTTTTTTTATTTTTGTTGAGATAATTGATCATGTTGATTTAACTTTATTATTCCGAAAGCAGTGCTGTATCAAATCCCTATTTGAATAACACATTTCCTTGATTCAATACTCTTACTTTATTGATAACCTCTGGTTTCTTTAGTTATTTTTATGCTTGAATTATAGACCTTTTGATTACTATCCATACTAATTCTTGTATTATCGGGATAACATTAGAACCTAAGTACCATACTTTAATCCTTTGCTCTTAACACACCATTTGAAATATAAGTTACTGCTGCAACTACCAATATAGCTACCATCATTAAAAACGTCCTTCTTTGTGTTTTTGTTCTTGTGTAGAATAACCTGGTATTTATTTATTTTTTTGTGAATTGTTGTATAATGATTTAGATGATCCATCAAAGGTATATTGTGGTGGTTGAAGATATTATGCATTTTATTAAAAAATGATTGTGGTTGTAGTTAGGAAATAATTTTGAGCGCAATGGTTATAATATGATTGTGTGGAATATATTATATTCTTTAAATATAATTATTTACTTAATATGTATTTTTTAATAAAATCCCTTCCCCTAATAAATTAATAAATTTAAAAAAAAAAAAAAAAAAAAAAAAAAAAAAAAATTTGTAAATATTTAAAATTTTTGAATTAAAATAAAGAATTTTTAATTTCCTTTAGTAAATATAAAGATTAGAACTTAATTAGGTATTCCTTTTTTTACATTTTAATCATAAAAGGAAACACACATCCCTATTAAAATTTTTAAAAAAAAAAATAAAATTTCTAGATAAAAAATAAAAAAAAATTTTATATTTATTTAAATTTTTAGATAAAAATTTTAATCTATTTAATCTATTTATTTTATTGTTTATTTATTGGTTGATTGAAAATTGTTCTTTTTGTTGTTTGAATTAGTATAAAATGGAAACCTTCTTTTACAAGTTTACCAGTTAGTCTATTCAATTCTTTTAATATTTTACACATATCAACTGTGGCTGGAGTGGCTGCAGTATCTCTTGTGGGCTACTTTCTAAAGCTTCTATATTTTTCATACCAATCACTGTGTCCAATAATCTCTTTTAATTTCTAACCCGATTGGAGGTAAGCTTGTGTTGCTTTTAATGGCTCATCCATATAATCCACCTTTAATAAGTTTTTTTTTTTTTTTAATAGTTTTTTTTTTAATTATTATTATTTGTTTCTGTTATTTTGAAATTATAAAGAATGATTGGAAAAAAAAAAAAAAAAAAAAAAAAAATTTTTTTTTAAAAAAATTAAATTAAAACCCCACCACACACAATTTTTCTTTTTTATAAAAAAATTAATTAAAAAATAGCTAGAACTGTTTAGTTATTCCCATAAAATATTTACATTTCATTGCTGCATATAAAAAAAATTTTAAAAAAATATTAATTAAGAAATATAAAGCTATCAGGAATTCAATAGCCTAGCAGATGCTCAGCTTTATTTTTTCTTCAATAAAAAACTTGTTGAGAGTTTTTTATTTTTGTTGTGTTATATATAATTTGGTTTGTGTTTTCATTTGGTATACAAATATTTAAACTTTTCAGTAAGTTTTTATTTGTTTTTGTGTTATTGTGTTTTGGTTTGTGTTTTAAAAAACTTGTTGGGAGTTTTTTATTTGTATTGTGTATTCGTTTTTACCGGATTTATCTTTCCGGTGATTATAATAAAATATCAACTTAAATTAATAAATAAAAAATATATTTTATATTAATATATTAATATATTGATATATTTTTTATTTATATATATATTTTAATAATTTATAAAAATAAATTATTTTTTTTTTTAAAAAAATAAAAAGATAAAAATTTTAGTTTTTATTTTTTTTTTATAAATAAATTAATTTTTTTATTTTTTTTATTTTAAAATTAAATTTAATAAAAATTTTTATTTTATTTATAATTTTATATAATTAAATGCTAATTGCTTTTTTTTAGATATTAATGAATTTGATGGTTGTGGCTGTGAACAAACATACAATAATTTTAAAATTAAAAAAAAAATTGAAAAATTTAAATACAAACATTAAAAAATTTAAATACAAGCATTTGCCAATAGAGATAGTTGCATCGAAATTCAAAAAAACTTTCTTGTAGATGCACTTAACGTAATTGGCAACCATTGACTTTTCAAAGGGATGTTATTTCTTCAAATAATCTGTCAACTCTCAGCTTATCCATCATTTTGAAAGCTTATTTAAAAAAGCTTCAAAGAAATGTGTCATCTCAGGTTTCAAATAAAATCACCAAAAGTATAGAATTGGTCAGTACTATATTTGGAGAAGTAGATAGTATTAGTATTTGATATATATATAATAAAAAAATCGAATGATTTAAAAAAAATAATAAATGAAGAGTATATATATAAATTAGTTTTTTTATTTTTTTTTTTTTTCAATTTAATTAAAAAAATCAATATTCTTTATTTATTAAAATTAAATTTTAATGTAAATAAATTAAAATTATTATTATCTTCAAAACTATATAAAATAT